ATATAGAATTGTGCCTACTGGGTATCCTTAAAGAAATCCTGTCTTCAGGACAGCTCTGGTGTTCAGTTACATGATGAAAATGCTGCTTGGTGTTTTATAAAACCATGTTTCATACTTCGTGTTTTTTCCTCATTTTGATTTAGTTCGTTTGAAAGATTTTGAACATGCACATTTATGAAAGGTGTTTCCTTAAAAGCATTTCTTCATCATTCCATTTACACACAGATGACCTGTGACAAAAGAGAGATTGTTAACTGTGACTAGAATCATTAAGCTGGAAGAGGCTGCTTGGACTATCAGATTCAATCCCAACTGCATTCTGAAATCCAAATTAAAGCATCCAAGATAGATGAGCTAAAGAAGCTTCTTTGATGAGAAGTGAAATGTCTTCAAAGAAAAAAAAACAGAAAGTCCATTTGCCTCTTCAAAAAAGCACTTTTTTGGACAAGTAATCTTTAGCTTTTCTTTTGCTACCCATTTTGAAAAGCTAGAAATTAACAATTATGTATAAAATGTCAGCAACATGCATATCTGTAGAAAGTTGAAACATTACAGATATGTCATACCAAAAATGGCAATTCAGTAATGCTGAGATTGATGGATAGTTTAATAAACAGATAAACAGTTCATCTATTGGTCCATAATATGGTTTGTTTGGGTTTGGATTAGCAAAATGAATCAACAGCACTACTCTATTGTGATATCATTTATAGGACATGGTTATATTGTCTAGCAGTATGTTTTAACTAGATGTTTATGGCTTTTTCTATTCTGTTTCAAGAATGCCATAATTTAATGTAATATGTGAGTTTGGAAATATGTCTTTTCTGAATTACACTCTCCAAATATGTATATAAAAATAAGGCTACATGCAAAATGGCTTCAGCTTCAGAGGCTGTTCTTTATTCCTTGCTTTGACATCTGTATTCTCCCATACATTTTTATTCAGTTGTTATGAATTCTGTTTGCTATTTGGTTTTATTGTTCTGTCCACTTGATGTATCTTCTTTCTATATTTCTTTATGCCTTTTGGCTTCACAACCTTTATTTCATATTGGCATATTTCCTTGTTTCATATAAATATCATTGCTCTCATATATTCTGTCAGCTTCTGTTTTCAGATATATTTCTAGGTTATGTTAAAAACTACCGTTAGAATTTATTTAACTTGTATGTCTTCTTGGAAGTTTGGTTTTCAGTTTAGTTAACTTTTTATTTCTGAAAATGTTTTCTGCCTGGGTTATGTGGTACGTTTTCTACAGGAAACCTAACCTTACAATTTACAAATAAAAATTTGATTCTTGTGTAAGTAAAATCCAATTTATTGCCTGACAAGGAGAACAAAGAATCTGCCTTAATTAAATACAAGGGTCTTTTCTGTCCTAAGAATAGTTGACATATGATTTGGGCAGATCTTCATGGCTGAATTAATACTGCACAAGCCAACATCATCCTTTGGTGACTCAACTAAACAACTGATGTAATGGAACTCTTATAAAGTGATGGGGTAGGAGTTGGTGGTGAATGCTTGTGTACTTCCAAGAAGTAATGAATTGCATATACTTGCCACATGTGGGAATATTTTGATGCTTGAGATTTATATACAAACAGTCCACAGTTGCTTGAAACTCTCATGGGGCACCCACGGGAATATTAATTGGTAATAGTGGTATCTATGCATTAGCTTCTATATCCAAGGCATTATGTTTCCTAATGGCAGTTGTTAATAAAAATAAGCAGGAAGGTGCTTATTGGCTTACCATAGGCATGTGTTTGGTCACTGTGGGAACATAGTGCTGGGCTGGAGAGATCTTTGTTAGAGACAGTAGTCTTTTCTACTGAAATGGACAGAGCTTATGTCTGTTTGAGTGAATCAGTATCTTTGCTGGCTGATCTTAAAAAGCTAAACAAGATCAGGCCAGGAGCATATGTTTCTGTGTATATATCTGTGTCTCTGTATTTAAGGAATTGATTCATAGAAATAATAGTTCTTAAGGGCCCATTATCATTTTTACATGCTCTACACAAGAGCTGACAAACTCCCAGCCCAGATGTGTCACATGCTGGCCATGCCCACATCCAGTTTAGCAAAGGTAAAAAAAGTCCCGATATGTCACATGACATTGCCGTGACGACATGAGTTTGACACCCCTGCTCTACACATTCTTTTAAATGAGCAACTATGAAACATGATACGACTTTCACATTTATTTATTTTTTATTTGCTTTACCTGTTTTCATTAAGAACCTATCAAGGGAATACAATCATGCCATTAAAACATTAATGGTATAACACTATAAGCAGTTATAAAACGCCAATAAAAGGAAGGAAACTTAAGTAAAAATCAACCAACAACCAAAGAGAAAAAACTATGGTGTCATTTAAAAATAAAAAGTCTTCTTAATTGTGCTTTCAATAATTTTCTAAAATTTAATACGTGCTGATTGAATTTCAGAGGACAAAGAATTCCCTTTTAAAAAATAATTTTATTGAAGATATTTATAATGAAATTAAAGCCATAAAAGAAATTAAGTGTAACAAAGAAAAACTGTAAATAGTGAGAAAGAAAATAGACAAGAAAAAGAAAGAAAAGGAAACCAAAATTGATAAGGTCCCTGATCTTCCTGAAGTTATTTCCTTCTTTCCATAAGCTACTCTGCCTAATCTTCAAACCCCCAAATCACATTTTCTCTTCTTTTCAACAAAAGGTTTGTAAGAGGTTTCCTGTCAATGAGAAATGTAGTTATTCATCTTTCTCTAATCAGACAGTTTAATTTTGCTGTCTCAACTATGCTCAGAGCATCAGAGTGACATTAGTGCCTAGAGCATTAGTTAGTGACTACCTGCCAACATTTGGGCTGCTACATTCTGGAGTAATTGAAGCTTATTGATTGCCTCAAAGGCAATCCTAAGTGCTGATAGAATTTCATTGGTCCAGGTGAGTGGTGATGACAGCATGAATTGAGGCATCCTTCTCTTCTATTAAGTTTGCAATTCGTGCACCTGATGAAACTGACAAAAGATGCAGTGGTCATAACCTCTCCACTTGTCCATCTAGCAGTAGTTCTGGATCTAGGAGGACTACAAGTCACAAGCCTGTTCCTACAAGGCAACAGAGACCCCATCAAGACATATATCAAGAAGTTCTGATAGATAAACAACATTTCCATTTAACTAAGATTCAATTTCCACTTATTCATCTGCTTCCAGATACTGATGAGACATTGGCACTTATATGACCCAAGTTAGCAGTGAATAATTGGGTATCATCAACATACTAGTTGTAGTAGAAGGTAATTTGAAACATGATTGCTATGCTACACTCATCCTGCTCCATTCATGGTATTTTATCAGGGTTCTATTCATGTGGATGCTGTGAATTGAAATGGCACAGTCCAGTTACAGGTTAATCGTGTCAATAAGAATCAGATCTGATTATCAAAAGGAAAATGACTCTGATGTACATTAGCACTTCCTACCTTTAAACCTTAAATCTTCATATAAGTTAGTAAGAGTCATCAAGGCTGAAATGTTTCTGCTTGTTCAATTATGTGAATTGGAATTCTGTTTTCTGTCATCAGAGAAGAGAAAGAATATTTGCTGTATACCTAAAAAGTCTTCTATGAAACCTGGTCTCCTTTTCTTGCAAGTATGGCAAAATAGTCATCCTACTCACCATAGCATAATCATTAATTTAAAACAGCTATTTTATCGCTCTTGTGTGCACCGTTGGTAATCAAGCCGTCTTTTTTGAAGTCACTGCCATATATAGTTCACTCACTTTTCCCATCCTCTTTTAGACATTATGAGATGAAAGGCGTTTTGAAGGCTACTGATACCTTCTTCTGCCTTTTCAGAAAAAGCATCTAATACGTTCATGTAGACTTTACTATTGTAAACCTGTATTTAGACAGCTGTCAATGTTACAGAATGCACAATGTAATACAATCAAATTAATTTCCATGTTAATATTAATTTCAAGTATGGTGTAATTTTTGTTATTACTTTGGATATAGATTGAGGAAGGCTTTTGATGCTGGTTTTTCTGAGAAGGTGTTTCAGATGTCAATATATCAAACATTTTGCATCAGCTGACAATAGTCTAACATTTGAGAGATGGTTAAATACCCTTAGATTTTGTCTACATTTATGCATTTGTTTGAGCCATGAAATATTAGAAAGGGGGAGTATTGCAGAGGGGATTTCATAAGGTATTTTTTCCAACTTTACTCCCCAGTAGTGAGAATGTTTGTAAGCAAGTAATGTGGAAGAAAAATTTATTGTCATATGCTGGGCATCATGAACTATATCAGTCCCTATAATCTTATTTCTTAATGCTTCTTTATTATCAAGTTGGATAAGCCACTTAAAAGTAATCCCTATCAAATACAGTAGTGAAGTATTCTAAAATTGTGTCCAAAATAATGTAAGAAGTAAATGGGTAAGAAGAATAACAAAAAAAAAGGTTTTTTGGTTTATGCCTTGTTGTTCTATCTATCACAAGTGAATCATTACACTTTCCCCCATATGTTTGCCCTATTTGTGCTTCCAAAGTGAGATCACTGCAACTTGCAACCAAAATATATAAAACACAACATAATGTAAAACATATAAAAGCTTATTCTGATACGTATTTTAATAACTTTTGTATATTGGTTTATGTTTATAAGAGCCATGGTGGCACAGTGGTTAGAGTGTAGTATTGCAGGCTGATTCTGCTGACTGCCGGCTGCTATCAGTTCAGCAGTTTGAATCTCACCAACTCGGAGTAGACTCAGCCTTCCATCCTTCCAAGGTTGGTAAAATGAGGACCCAGATTGTTGGGGACAATATGCTAACTCTGTAAACCATTTAGAGACTGCCGTAAAGTACTGTAAAGTGGTATATAAATCTAAGTGCTTTTGCTATACTTTCAAATTTACTTAGCAATAGTTTGTACTGCTATACTGCTGGTGCCAGTCCTACACTAACATTTAATATTTTTAAAACATTATACTAGGAGAAACTGCTGAAAGTAAACTGGAATTCCCTAGGCAATGGATTCGAAGAGAACAAGTAGAACACTTTGGCATAACCATCCCTTATCTTTTGAGTGGTAAACCATGGAAACCAATAAAAAATATTTTTGAACAGGTAAGTTCTGTTTCGACTATTGTTTTTTATAATATAATTTCATGGATTACAGTACAGAAATATATAGGACTAAAGCCTTCTTCTTTTGTCTGAAGCAATATTTATATCTCTTTCCCCCAAACTGAAGCACTCTAGAATTTTGGGTGGGCTAATTAGGGAAATTGAATATATTTGATGTTTCTCAGATTGAAGGTATACATATCTCTGTCACCGTGCAGAATCACCTTCATTATTCAGAGATGTAGTCACAAATAATTTTATTTTTCCTCAAAACGCTTTCCAGGAGAATAACTTGTTATTCTGGGGTTTGTAGTTTTGCTTCAAGGATAGAAATTCTGGGCTTTTAACTTACCCAAGTTAAAGTGTCATTTAGATAGAGGTTTCTTGGTTATTCTTTCTTCCTCTTCATATACATTCTGATCTGAGGTGAAAAACCATTTAAAATGTTAATATATTTTGTTTTACTATTTGTTAACCAATTAACAGGCTTTGCACAGATATGGCAGAATCTCTCCACATGACCTTGTCTGTAGCTTCTCAGAAAAAGGCACACAAACATGATGCATATAGAATAATTCCCTTTTTTATTGTAGATAAAAGCAAAGTCATTTGTACACACAAAATATTGGTGTGCTATGGTATACACAAAAGATAAAACCTGTATAAAAGTCTGCGTTCCAGGATTCATATTTTAAGCTTCTTCCTCCTGCTTTTCCAAGTCAGCAGACATTTTGTCATTCTTTTATTTGGCCCTGAGAAGCACTTGATCTCTTTTGACATAGCAGTTTTGCCTTCTGGAAAGTGTGGGTTCCTGCCTTACCAGTTTCAATCCTTCTAGAACAAGGAATTACCAGAACAAATAAAATAAGATTGGTTGAATAATGAATTACAATGTTTATAGCCCATTCAAAAGCATTTTTTTGCTCATTTATATCTTTATATATCAAATACTTAGGATTACTTGAAGCACAATCTATATTTAGTAAAAGTTAAACTCCATTGCATTCAGATGGGTTTATATGATTTTTCAGGATGACTGCAGTCTTAACAATTATCCTTTGTTAATGATTCATCTTTTAAAAGCTAAGTCATGGTGTGTGTGCATTTGTATGTGTCTATACAATATATCGTTACTTTAAAGGAATTGGTTTTACCAGATTTTGGATGCAATGGATAAGACATCTGTATCCTGTAAGTTCTGAACATGTATATAAACCCATTTCCATTTTATACATTTGTAACGTATTGTATGTAAGAAATATATGTGTAAAATCCCATTTATGTTAATTGATATTCTGCTTTTACAGGCAACCTTTATTCCATTTGTATCCTAAACTATATTAGTGTGTATTAAAAGTTTATGTTTATATAAAAAGAAAATTTACCATTTTGTAAAACAAACAAACAAAAAGCTTATAAAGGACATTAGACTTACACCTGGCATTGTAAGCTAGTTAACATAAGATATCCTATGTATTTAGTACCCATCTAAATCTATTTTTGGGTTGCTTAATTAGAAACAGATGGTCATCTTTACTTCAGAGATTTTCAAAAGTGATGAATACAGTGTATTGAAAGAGCTTCAGTATAAAAATTTTCAGAAAAGTACAATAATGGCATTCATGTCATTAATTTGCTTTCCAATTGCTTGCAACTCAAGGTGAATGTTAAATAAAAATGCTGATTTAATACAGAGAGCTGCATGGAATAATAGTGGTCCCATTCCCTTGGAAACTGAAAATGCAATAAAAATATTTCGATTCTTCTGAGAAATTCAGCAAGGGAGATATATAACAATTTATTACATTTATATCATACAAAAACTAGCATTTATTATGAACCAGTCTGATTTAGATGAATTTGAGAAGAAGGTGATTCAGAAATATCACTTTTTCCACGGTAGCTGTTTATGGCCATGAAGCTTTTAGCTTTGATAAGAATGAAGTTGAATCAGAGGAGGAAGCTCAAGAAACATTTCTGTCAAATCCAAGATTAACCAAGAGTTATGAATATGCCAAGTGGACTGAAAAACTGGACTGAAAAAATGTGAAACAAACTCTACATCAAGGCTGTCAAACTTCTGGCCTGCAGGCTGGCTGCATCACATGCTGGCCACGCCCATGCCTGGTTTAGCGATGGGAAAAAAGTCATGATATGCCACGTGACGCCGCCATGACAACACGAGTTAGACACCCCTGCTCTAGATCTATGACAGCAAAGATATATGTTTATGGATAGTCCTCAACTTGCAACCAAAATTAAGTCCACACCTTCCATTGCTAAGTGAGAAATTTAAGTGAGCTTTGCCCTGTTTTACGATTTTTCTTGTTAAGTGAATCACTGCAGTTGTTAAGTTAATAACATGGTTGCTAAGTGGTCTGGCTTTCCCATTAATTTTGTTCATCAGAAGTTCACAAAAGGTGATTACAGGACCTCGGGACACTGCAACTGTCATAAATGTGAACCAAGTGCCTGAATTTTGATCATGTGCCCATGGGTATGCTTCAATGGTCATAAGTATGAAAAACAGTCATGTCACTTTTTTCGGTGCCATTGTAATTTTGAAGGATCACTAAATGAACTGATATAAATTGAGGATTACCAGCAGAGTTGGCCCATGAGGATGCAACTTGGAGAGCAGGGAGAAGTGGAAGAATTGGACTTCCTGATGTGATTAGAAATAGAGAAAGACCTGGAATGGAGAAGAGGCAAGAGGACCCACAGTTTACACTGTTTCAGAAACTTTCTGATTGCTGAAATTCAACCATTGCAATTTTTTTGCTCTTGAAAATTCCGATTTAAATCTTAGGTTTAAAGTCCTGTTTTTCTTACATCCTGTTTTACTATTGTGGTAAACTAGCGTTGTTCATATATGTTAATTTCTGCAAGATTTCATAATTCATAAAATATAAACTTAGCTCTGTGTGTGTGTGTGTGTGTGTGTGTGTGTGTGTGTGTAGTGAGGGAGGGAGGGAGGGAGGGAGGGAGGGAGAGAGAGAGAGAGAGAGAGAGAGAGAGACTACACTGCCCTTTGATTATGTGCTTATGATCTCGCTCCAATAAGTGAGTAATACCGAAACAAAGTAGTTAGTAACATTGGGTCAAATGTAAATATGTTAAATTATTTCAGCAGTATTAAAATAATTACCTCATGTTTTTAATACATTTTCCATTATGTTACATTTGAAAATATAATTTTGCAAGGCTTTGATGCATTACATACATGCTATGTTATGCTTTCTTTCTTTAAATTCTGGCAAACTAAGCTGAATATTTTACTTAAATGATCTTTATTCTTATATCTTCAGGTGGTATGATATAATTTCTTTTATCCCATCAGTTGACTGGTGATGAAGAAAAAAAAAGCCAGTTCTATTGGATGTAGATCTCCTAATGATACGGCTCCTTCCTTCCTTCCTTCCTTCCTTCCTTCCTTCCTTCCTTCCTTCCTTCCTTCCTTCCTTCCTTCCT